CTTGTCTGTATTCTTTATGTGGCATTTTGTTATGAAGCGTTGTATTTTGAGATTGTATTGCATCCTAAGTGTTTGTGACCTCTAGCTTGACATACTTAAAATAAAACCATCTAAACTAAATGCATATAACAATATGGACAGCTAAGATGCAGAGGCCTTTAGGTCACACAGAACGCTGCAGGAAATGAGTAGAAAACATTCACATAAAAGAACAGAAAAAGAACAAAGACAGCAAAGGCAACAAAGGCAGCAAAATGACACCTGCAATATGACAAACACAAACAGGCTGCAGGCTGTAAGCCTTGAGAACATTGTATGTTTTTATAATGTATTTAGAATTGTCAGAACCTCAAGCTGATCTAGGTAGAGTTGCTTTATTAGAGGCCTGAAACTAGCATCTGAAGACTTCCAGTATACATTCACAGAAATACAGGCAACAATGATCACTATAAATAATAATATTTTAAATAAGACTTTAAAAACATACTTGTCACCACTTTTGTTCCTTCACCAAACAGGATCTCACTGCATGTGACAACAGCACAGTAGTACGTCCCAGCATCAGATGAGTTTGTTACAGTTTTGGACAGACTGTAGTCACATCTCCCGTCCTCTTTATTTCTGACATTGCCGTGGTAAATGACGCCTGGGTGGGATTCTGATCCACCTTTGAACCAGTGCACTTTGTCTTCCCCTGGACACTGATCTGTGTCATTCTTGTTCTTGGAGAGGAGCGAACACTGCAGAGTCATTGTATCACCCAGATGGACTGACTCCATGTCTGGAGTTTGTTTCACAGTTACAGATTTAAGTTGAGTTTTAGGATCTGTGTGATTCACAAAAATACATGTCTGTATTTGTTTTGATTTTGACACAGATATAAAAAGAAAACAATAAAATAAATATACTTTACCTTTCACTGCCAAAATTGTGCCATTTATAAATTCCGTTTCATATACCGATCCTGCATGACAGAGGTAAGTTGCTTCATCTTCTTTGCTTACATTTCTTATGATAAGAGAATGCACATGACCTACTTTTGTGGCACTGAATCTTGAGTTGTTAAATTGTCCACTGAGGGATATTCTTCCATAAGTTCCTTTAGCAACTGTTTCAAGCAAGTATCCAAAATTCAACTTATACCAGTAAGAAAACTCTGCATTATTTTTCACACATGTCAGATTCACATCATCTCCAAGTTTAGCCTCATGTAAAGACATCTGCTGAGGAATCTCTCTCATTTCAATCAAAGCTGAAGAAAAGAAACCAACAGTAGCAGTTAGAACATGACAGGACAAAATATTAAAAATATGTATAATCATCATGCAGTTTAAAATATTACAGAGCCTTATACAAGTTGTCTTATATGATTTACAATGCTACATCCCACAGTACAGAAAAAGTAAACTCACACAATGTACTTAGAAGAATCAAAGGAACCAGTCTTCCGATCATTGTGGTACCTCAACCTTCTCTTGCACAACTGATGTCTTCCCACTCAAAGGAAGATTTAGTCACAAGAGGATCAAGGTTTAGAAAGTCGAAATCACAGTGATTGGCTGAAACACAGAAAATGCACTTCCTGTAATATTTTACAAGCCCTTTACAGTGAATATAGGCTGTTCTGTTTGTTTTCAAAGATAATTCTCCAGGAAGAGTAACATAATCTGCATTTGAAAACCTGAATTATATATACATGGAAATACAGTTGTATTCAAAACAAAATTGTGTTTGTGTTTATGATGTACAACATAGGATAACCACAAAAAAATTTGAGCAGATAGTTTTACCAATCATTTGAACAAAGATTTCGGAGACTATGATTATCCTCATACCCTCAAACAACAACTGACAATTTTCTTTATTAAAATAATATATTTTTTATTATTTTATTATACCTCATCTCACACCCTGAAGTTGACCTTACACTTTCCATAATTTACATACCAACCATGCAAGCAAAACCATCCTTATACCCAAATTACAGATTTTGGATTTAAATTTAGTATCCAGAGCCACGACTAAATAAATAATGATCAATCAAACAAAGTTAGGTTGGTTGTGCCCAACAGCAGATCCTCTTTGCATTTGCTGTGACTGACAAACTCAACTGGATAGTTGCTTTCAGATGTAGCTACAATACTGCACACATGTAAGATGTAAATACCCTATTAGAAGGTTTGTTCCCTAAAAAGATTATGATTTATGTTTTGTTTGAGCATCTGAAACAACAGCAAAGCCTGAGTTGTCTATCTGTAATCAAAAAAATCAGCACTCCCCTCATTGACCAAAGCAGTACAATAGATCTATAATGCCTTACATTTGTTTTTGCGGGGATCAGAATGAGTGTAAGCAAAACTTATCTCAACTTTTATCTGCAGTGCAGCTGTTTGCTTCCTGCAACTCTCCGTCTCAGTCACACAGCCCAGCCCAACGTTTTTTGTCCCTTATATGCGTGAATTAATAATCTTGCTATCAATTGTGCAAAGAAAGTATAATATTATAGCAAACCTACATTTTATTTCCCTCTATGCTGGCATTGTCTCATGGCAATCCATGTAACAGTAATTTTTTCATACATTCAGTAAGCTAACCGTTAACTTCAGTCTCAAGAAATAACTTCTCATACACAGCATGTTCTGATCTTTCTCTAAGCAGCTTTTGTTGTATTCATTGTTTTCTAAATCCACTCAAATAAAGCAAAGCTTAATATTAAAGCAGTATAAATGGAGGTGTAATTCATTATTTACATGACTGAGTTTAACTGCCAACTCTTGTCCAAGAACATGAATCATTGGATTAAATTTTGTATAATACTAAGTGCTGCGACTTTGTTTTCAGTGCAGTTGTCTACTGAGGTTACTGACGCTACTGGACTCCCACTCAAAAACAAATATGTAATGAAGTAAAATACTGGTGTTTGTCTTTGGTTTTGTTAGGTTTCGGGTGGTTTAGGGTATAATTTCAGTATTTTCAAGAATCCTGTTAATTCTTGTAACTTAGCTTTTGTATGTGAATTTAATAAAGTTTGTTCCTTTTTACCCTTTCAAGCTATGTGTGGATGTTAGTTTGATTTTAATATATAAACTTTTGTGATTTTTCAAAACCTGCACCACATATTGACTAAAATATTTCCATAGTGCAAATCAATTGCTTTATGGCTGAAATGAAAGATGAAACTTTGAATGAAGCTGAAATAAAGAGTGAGAAATAAACATGGCTTATGACATTAAAGTTCTTCTTTGGAGCAAAAGGAGATCAATTAACCAAACTCATGTTTTGATGGTTAAAGTTCACTGTACACATGCTGGTTGGTGGGCCTTACCACTTCAGAGCAGAATGGTAATCCTCTAATCTCAGGAAATGAGACATGAGACACTACAGGTTACATAAATAAATAATGTAACCCCTGTGTTTGAGTTTTATTGTATTTTGCTTTCCACTTGTGTTCTAGTTTCAGTTTAATTGACCTTATTAAGTGCTACGATGCCTAGGTTGCTGTGTTAGTCCTTTGCTTTGTAGATCTTTTTGTGTCTTCTCCCCTGTTCTAAGTCTCCCTGCTTCATGTCTACCTGTCATGTTTCATGTCTCTGTGGTCAAATTCCTGTCATGTCTCGTAATGTTTCCTGTTTATTTTTGGAAGTCTTGTTTCCATGTTCTATGTACTTAGTTTTCACTTCCACTGTGGCATCATTATGTTCATCCTAGTCAGCTGTTTCCTCGTGTGTCTCCACTTCCCCCGGTCACCTCATGTGTGTATTTAAGCTCACAATCTTCCTGCGTTCAGTGTGGTGTTCCCTGTGTTCTCTCCCCCATGTCTAGTTTTAGACTTCATAGTGTCCCTTCATGTTTCATAGTATTATCAGTCTTCATAGCTTTCATAGTCTCTCTAGTCTTGTCACAGTTTATTCATAGTTGTCTCAGTTTGGTCTCAGCCTGTTTGCTTTATTTTTGTATGCTTAAGTATCAGCCCCCAAAAAAGGCTCAGTTTCCGTTAAAGTTAATTCCGTCTCCTCGTCAGTGTCCACACTTGGGTCCTCCACTCATTCTTTACTCAGTCTGCCTCCCGCAGACCGTGACCACAAATTCCTATTTTATTTAAATAAACATGTACTGAGAAAATGTAAGGTATAAGTAATACATGGATTTTGAATGTATGTAAAAATAAAACATGATGATTAAAATGTGGAAGTGAGTGAGAGAGAGTGAGTGGACTGAAAGAGCAGGCTTTAGGATATTTGCTTTTTCTCCAATTGAGTTTCTGAATTTCTGAGTGAACTTCCTGAAAACCATCAGTCTTTTAGACCACATCCCCACAAGACTGCAAAAGGAAGTCATACCACTGATCAATGCATCAATCTCTATTCATCAGCTATGTACCACAGGCCTTCAATATGGCAGTAGTTAAAATTTCACTTACATGTCATTACTTGACACTGTGGTCGCAGCCACTTATAGAACAATCTCAAATCTTACCTCTTATCTCAAAAATTCTTGAAAGGGTAGCTAACTGATCATCTGCTGAGGGATGGTTTATTTGAAGATTTCCAATCAAGTTTCAGAGCTCATCACCGTAACAAAACAGAATTTGTGAACGTTACAAATGATCTTCTTATGGCCTGTGACAGTCGAGTCATCTCTGTGCTCATCCTGTTGACGATAATATTTTACTTCAGCAATTATAGCATGCTGTAGATATTGAAGGTTCTGCACTGCAGTGGTTTGAATCACGTCTATCTAATAGACTCAGGATCAGTTGAAGACATAACATACGTCACAATGGCCGAAAAGGCAGAACTGAACCCAAACGCAGAAACCCAAAGCGGAGGTGGCACAGTGTTTAACAATGTTTATTGATCTAGCACTGGTTGAACTTGACAGTAGCTGGAAACAGTGGGACATAGAATGTAACAGTGGCATGAGAGCCTGAAGCCAAATGTAAGAGTCATGGAGAGTCCAGGAGAGCTATGGTACAAGAAAACAAGGTAAGTGTCACGGTCTGGTTGGGCACCTGCAGGTCTCAGACAGCGGCTCCTCCTCCTTTAGGCGGAGTCCGGTTGCCCCTCCCGGGCTGACCACCTGTGAGCAATCGTGCCAGCGGTATATCAGACCTGCGCTCTCAACCCCTCATCGCCTGAGTATCTGCTATTCCCATGTTAGTTCTGTGGAGCATCCTAAACCTTGTCTTAACGCCGTGTGATGACTCACCTGTCCTTTCTTGTCCTCAGTGATAGCACCCGGAGTGGAGATCTTGTTCCCCTCGCTCCCATCCTCCTGGACCGGGGCCGCCAGCTGCTTACACAACGTGGCCTGCCAGCCCACCGCTCACCTGCCTGCCTCGACCGCTTCCGGATTTTCTGCTCCACCTATCCCCTCCATCTGAAAACCAAGTAAGGCAATTCTATTCAACTGTGGAGGATTGTTGGTTGTCTGCTGGATCCCTCTGATCGTGATCTCCTCTTGTTCCAGTGCCCCCGGCCCCTGCCTAGTCCTGTTTCTACCTCCCCGCTGTCCCCGCTGTCAGCTGTCTTCCTAGAGGTGTCTAGGTCACCCTCATTATCCCTGACGAACCCTACGCGCCACTAGTGTGGTGGCGTCGCTTTATGTTTTGCCTTTGTTTTTATGTGGGCGGAATAAATCATTTGTTTTCAGTCACCTCGCTTCCGGGTTGGTTTCTGCGCCTGTGTCCATCCCTGTTCCCTCGTGCCGCTGGGCCGTGACAGTAAGTAAAGCATGTCGCAACAAGAACATGGAGCATGGAGAGCCGATTACAAACTTGGAGTAGTTGACAAACTGCCAGTGAAGGAACGTCAGCGTAGAGCTTAAATCTCTCCAGCTTGATCGCCTCAGATCAGCTTCAGGTGAGTGGAACTGCTGAAGAGATGACAGCCCTGCCAAGGAAACTCAGGAACCTGGCGGGAATTTCCAGCCAATCATATCGTGACAGCTCATATATTCACTGCTACATGGATAGCACCCAAATGAATCTACCCATGAAGCCAGATAACACACACCAATTGGTTGAACTGCATTGTACTGCAGGAACATCTTCGAGACATAAAGATCTTGAACCGCCACTAGGCGCATAAGCGCAGACGATGGTCAGGACCCATTCCCCGACCCGGAGGCGCAGGTAACAAACCCACATGTTGACTGGGAGAAACCCCAACATACAGGCAGCAAGCAGGGGGGATACCAGGATACCCACCCGAGACTCTGAGACAGAGTCCACCCCCTCTCCAGGAGACAGGTTCCAGAGCCCAAGCCGTGTGTTGAGGTGTCCGCCTAAACAGTGGGGAAGCCCTCCACGGATGCGTTGTCGCTGGGAATATGACCCCCTATGAGCAAGCACTTTGGGGACAGGAGGAAGAAACCTCCTGCAGAACGGGGCTCAGGGAGGGGAGGCCGTCTGCTGTGGCTGGTTGGGGCAAGAAAAGGAAGACAGGATAAAAGACGTGCTGTGGAAGAGAGCATGAGATTAATAACAAGTATGATTCAATGCATAGAGGTCTACTTACAAAGTGCTCTAGTGCGAAGTGCTCTAATAGGGTGATATGGTACTAAAAGGTCATTAAGATAAGAAGGGTCTGATTATTTAAGACCTTGTATATGAGGAGCAGGATTTTCAATTCAATTCTTGATTTAATGGGGAGCCAATGAAGGGAAGCCAATCTGCTCTCTCTTTCTAGTCCCTGTCAGGACTCTTGCTGCAACATTTTGGATTAGCTGAAGGCTTTTCAGGGAGTTTTTAGGACTTCCTGATAATAATGAATTACAGTGGTCCAGCCTGGAAGTAATAAATGCGTGAACTAGTTTTTCAGTGTGACTCTGAGACATGAAATGTTCTTATTTTAGAGATATTGTGCAAATGGAAGAAAGCAGTCCTATATATTTGTTTAATATGTGCATTGAAGGACAACTGAAGTGAAAGGTACAGTGGGTAGATTAACCACAGAACCCAGTCACTCAATTAAGCAACCAGGCTGGTGACTCACCTGTAAGGTCACGATTTTCCTCCAATCATTCTAATGCACAGATAAATATACGTGACACTAATTAAGGACAAAGACACATAGTGAAATTAAATGCAAAACAGAGGAGACTTTTAACTACAAAATGAATTAAGAAGTAATTCAAATTGGAAACATCTCGGAGAGACTTGACAAAAAGACAACACAAAGCAGGCCGATCTAATAAATACTGGAAAATGAGTTAGTAGAAAGCAGAATACAGA